TCAAGGAGGTCCTGACCAGAAGGTAGAAGACGTGTGGCTCTCGTCTCTGGGAACCTCTGTATTATTATTTAGAACAGAACTCAGGCCCAGCTCTGGAAAAGTTCCCTTGTGCCCAGCTGGGATGGGCATGCCCTGGCATAGCAGAGGGGTCTGCAGCAGGGAGGAAGGAGCAGGAATTAAAGACCTTCAGGAATTCTACACTCCTTGGGAGGAAGCCCTGTCCTCCTCAGAGCCCTAAATGACAGAACAGGGTGGCAAAGCTGATGATCATGAGGCCACTCAGACACCTTCGGAGAGCTGCCACTGTTCTGAGACCACCTGAGGCACCAGACAGCAAGGCTACTCGCCCAGCATTTCCTCATCATCTGTCTGGCTGCGGCCATTGACAGCAGGGGAACTGGGCCGAACATGGGAGAGGTCCTCAAAGCCAGGGCTGAGGGAGGGTGAGACAGTGTCAGGACTGGTATCACAGGAGCCCGTGCTCTGTTCCGAGGTGGCAATGGTAGTTGTGGTGCTGGGCAGGATGGGGTCTTCATCCTCATCCTCCAGGAGGGATGCCTCTGGGATGTCTGAGAGAAAGAGAACCAAGAATTGGTTCAGTAGCCTTGCCAGGCTCTGTGATAGGGAACTTATTGTATGTGTGATACCCCTGACAACTCTCCCCACCCTTAGGAGCATGACTTGGCCCATTTCACAAAAGATGAAACTAAGGTTTAAGGAGGTAAGACAAAGCCCTTCCTTTTTTTTTGAGACAGTCTCATTATGTTGCCCTGGATAGAGTGCCGTGGCGTCACAGCTCATAGCAACCTCAAACTCCTGGGGTCAAGCGATTATTTTGCCTTAACCTTCCAAGTAGCTGAGACTATAGGCGCCCAGCTACTTTTTGTTGCAATTGTCATTGTTTAGCTGGCCCAGGCCAGGTGCGAACCCACCAGTCTTGGTGTATGTACCACTGTGCTATGGGTGCCGAGCCAGAAAGCCCTTCAGGATGAGGTGAGGTAAGGACATAACTCTGGGGTTGGGCTGACATGGGCTCTTACTATGAGCCTGACTCTTTCATCCCTCTTCACCACTGTGTCACCTTGCCAGGCACCTCACCTGCCTTTACCTCAGCTCTCTACTTTTACTATAAACTGTGGCTGTCGACAGCCCTGGATGGAAAGCTGTTGGCTCATTCAGTAGATGGTGTAGTCCAAGGCTCAGCATGGGGAACCCTTTGAGCTGGCAGCAACATGGAGTGGCAATCCAAAGCATGTTCAAGCTCGCTAACCAGACAGATGAGAATTCAAGCCCTTCCCCTGCCCATTCTGGCTGTGTATCCTCTGACCCAGTTGTTTCCCCTCTGGGCCTCAGTTTCCCCTTCTATGAAATAGGGATACATAGGATACATACAACCCCAACTTTATAGGTAGCTGTAACAGTCTGGCCCACGGTGATACACACTGGGACAAAGTTTGTCATCATTCCTGTCTCCCACCCAGCCCGTGCCCCAAGTTTCCCTTGATTCACTGCCCACCAGGGTCTGGTCTCAACTTCAACCCATGAGGTGACTTTCAGAAGCCAGCCTTGGGTTAATAGTTCAGACAGCCTCAGGTGCATCCTCAGGTGCAGAGGCCAGACATGAGGTATACGAGCCCTGGATGACACTTACGGCTGAAGGCCTCCGGGTGTTGCCTGGCCAGTTTCCCTTTCAGTGTCCTGTGAGGAAGGGAAAACAAGGCAAATGGGGCTTAACACCAACAGCTATGGGCAAGGTGGGGTAGGGTGGATACTCCCCCACTGTTCATCCTATTTTATCTCTCCTATCTCAGGGAGGCTCAGGTGCTTAGCCCAATAGTCAGGGCAGTAAGAGCCACCCCCCCAGCAAAACTCCTACTTCAGGGTGGGCACGAACCACGCAGCTGTCACAGAGACTAGGTACTAACTGGGCCTTCTCCCTCCAAGCCCTTTCTTTTTTTTTTTGGAGACAGGTCTATTTTGTCACCCTCAGTAGAGTGACATAGCGTCACAGCTCATAGCAACCTTAAACTCTTGAGCTGCCTGTGGTCCCAGCTACTTGGGAGGCTGAGGTAAGAGACTCGCTTGAGCCCAGGAGTTGGAGGTTGCTGTGAGCTGTGATGCC